TGGGAGTAAAAGTTCCATTGTTAAATATTAACTTTATGACTAAATGTGTCTGTTTATGTAGTAAAGTTAGACACTGGTGAAACATATATATGTATTTGCGGATATGATTAGGTGAAACATATATCACTATTTTGCAATATTATAATTTCCGGGTTAGCTAATACTAAGATTACAAGTAATAGGTGGGACAGTCTGTTTAATTATCACTTTGTCGGCTGAAAATTCGTATTGACTTGTTCTTAGTTTGTCAGCTTGAGCCTTGTAGTCAAGTGGTAAATCTGGAAATGTGGTAAAATAAATTTCTAGGATACAAAGATGTAATAAAAATCACATTTATGTGAAAAGAATAAATTTCTAGCTTGTTGGTGCATCGTTTATCTTCTTCTACGTAGCGTGCTTATGAAGCCTCGTTTCTCTTCTTCCGAAGCTCATGAGCCAATCGAATTAAAGTCAGAGGAAATCACATGTTCTTCGCTTAGATATCACGTAGCGACGAGTGATCTATGCATGTGCATCCCTTAATTAACCCCTAACACCAAGTTAACTAGTTTTTGCAAGACCATCAATATCCAAAAATCTTTTAATAAATTATTGAAATATTTTTAAAAACAGTAATTAATTACTCTTTCCTAATTAATTACTCTTTCTTAATGTATGATGTTTTAGAAAATTTTGGATTTTTTTCAATATGTAAGATATTTCATTTTTCTAGGTAATTTTTAATTTTATTAAATTCAATAGTATTTTGATTTCTATTTTGTAATTGGTTAAATAAATTTTGATTTATTTTAATGATATTTTCTATATAAAAATAAATTTTTTAATAGTTGTGTATGTGTCTAAAATATCAGACATTGGAACGGAGGAAATACTAATTAACATGTGTCAAATCGATTTTCAAATCTAGAATATAAAAAAGTTCTAGCGTTTATCGGAAAATTTTTAAAAATTACCACAAATTTGGTATCATTTTTCAAATTTACCATTAATGAATGACTATTTTCATAAATATCTTAAGTTTGTGTAAAATAACACTAAGATATTTTTTAAAATATTTATAGAACATTTATAAATCCAACCCAACTCCTAAATACTAAATCTTAAAAAATAATTACTAAATTTTAAACTCAAATATTAGTATATTTTTTATTGGTACTATTTTAAAAATTGGTAATTAATTTGTGGTATTTCTAACATTTTTTTCTTGTTTATCTCCTCAATTTTATTACTGTTATTTATTCTTTTTTGTTGATGAAAAATTTCCCTTATAATAATCCCATTGAAATGGCCTAAGTACAATTAATACTATTATTCTCTGTGTCTCCACGTTTATCACATGCTACTTATACCATATCTCTGCATTCATGTATATACGGATTATTTTTCTGTACTCCAATAATGTCAATTACTTATCCCATATTCCCGTTTTCTTCATACAATGAGTCTTTTAGTACATACCATCTCCAAATGAATCACTCTATTTTTAAAATAAGGTTAACTCTAAAAGTTTATTAAAAAGAGAGAAGGTTAACTCTAGGTTAAAGTTGAAACATACTCTAATGCTACTCTACATTACACTAAAATATAGTAATGAGCATAAATAAATGAGTTACTGCATAAACATAATAAACCAATTTTACTCTATTATAGGTAGAGTTGTAACATTCTTATTTCAAATTCTATTTTAGAATGAAAAATAAATTGAGTTTAAAACATTTCAGGTGTAAAGCTCCATGATTTTCTCCAAAATAGAATAACTTCATAACGTAATTGAATTTTGTTTCAATCCCAATTTATTTTCCGTTTTGAAGTAAAAAATGGCATGAGATACAAAACTAATCCATTTTATTATATTATGGAATAGTAAATAGAATAAGATTAGAGGATTTTGTAGAATAAAAATGGAATACTATATATATATATATATATATATATAAATACACGATGGCGACCAATTCCCAACTTCCATCTCTCTTACTTTATATCCAAACAGTATTAATCATATCCCTCAACAACCATATCATTATCAAAATGAACACTTGACAGAAGAGTATTGTGAGGCCATATTAAATTATTGGAATTATTGCTCTATTTATTCAGTGTTACACTTGGTTGGTCCGTTTTGGCGTGGGGATTTCTATTTATTAAATATTTTATTTAACATTTTTTTTTTATTTTTAGAAGTTTGTTAATATATTATCTGTAATTTTTTTTTCATGTTTCCTCTTTTATATGTATCATCTTTTCTAGAGAATTTGTTTGATGTTATGATATTCAACTTCAATCTCGTTGTAATAAGCTCAATTTTACATTATGATTATTGAAATCATTACAATAGGGCTATTTATATTTTGGTCTGTAGATCTTTTGATAAAACTTATTTTATTTTATATCATCTATTTGATAATATTATTATCTTTCTTAGATTATTTTATATAATGTATATCATTTATACTGTGTAAATGTCTATTCTTTATTTTCCTAGCAGTAATAGATTTCTGTTTGGAGACTTTTTGGATTTGTTAATATTTTTATGAAGATTTTGGTCAATGCATATATTAGTTTTGTAATTGACTATTGAGGTTTTTCATAGAAGCTAACTTTAATTTGTAACAAAAAGTAGAGAAGAAAAGGTGAGTTTAATTTAGTTTTGTTTTGATCGATATTTTTAAATTACTTCGATAGCAAAAATATGGAAAAGTCTGCCGTAAAGATATTTCTTGAGAAATCCTTTTATTTTTATTGTTACATGAAATCTCTGAAGTGTGGCAAGAATTATTTTACTAAAATAATGAAACATGTAATTTTAAATGATGTTATACATATTAATTAAGATTTTGCTAACTTTTCATTTAACTATAATTAGAGAAACTATAATACACATTTATGATTTTTTTCCTAAACTCTTTTGAAAAAATGTCTCCAAAATAGGTTTTCAATTTTTTAATCTTAATATTTATTTATGTTTATAGATCGACAAAAAGATGATATAATTGTCATTTGCCTTTAACGAATGCTAAAATAGTCACTTTGGTCTTTGTGTGATAGTCTGAGAATAAATACAAGCATGTGTAGGCTATTGAAATCATTTCTAGAAAAATAGTTTTTTTTTGTCAGCTGTCAATTTAAATTATATCAAGTGTTGGTCAAGCGAATCGATTCTCTGAAGAATATTTTCGTGTGTCCGTGTCTGATCTATATAAAAAAATATAATCTTTAGTTTTTGCTTTTTTCGCTGACGAGTCTTTCCGACCATTCACAATTTGAGAAATATAGATCAGACTAACGTCCTCAAAAACTAGTTATGAATATTGTATTTTATTAGATAAAAAGTTTGAGATATAATTAATCACGAAAGTAATCTATTTATAGTTGAAATTTCATATATTTGTAATATGTGGAAAAACTCCAAAACCTATATCTTTTCAAGACACATTTCTTCTGTTTTTTTTTAAAATGTTATTCTATGATTTTAATTTTGTTTTATAATGATTGTCACTTAATATTTTCAATGCAAATTTCTAAATAATTTTTAAATTTTAACCTCTTTACTCTAATGTATTAATTGGATAAAGAAACAATTATGAATATATTAATGATAGATAAACCGCTTTTTAGTAAAAACAATTATTTTGTGTGAATTTTTGTGACATAGAAAAATTAATGAATAATGAGTCATGTTTCATTGTTTTGTTGTGGATTAGTTTGTAGTTGCAAGGTTTTGAAAATATGTTTCGCAGTTTTGTTGTGGACTAGTTTGTAGATTTTAGAAAATAGTATCCAGTGTAGAATTTCTTTGCAGTCATATTCCCTTTTTTTTTTTTTTTTTTGCAGTTATAACTGTTAATTAACAACTCATGATAGATTTCACTCTAGTTCCATATGTTTTTTTCTTTCTGCAACTGCTCCAATTCTCTATCTCCTTATCTTCGCGGTTTGCTCTCGCCATTACGAGCTTGTATTCCTCTTTATTTCTGCAAAAACATTCTCCATGTTGAATTGATTAACATGGAGGTCTCATCCAGTAGATTTGATACGCATCATCACACTCATAACACAAGACAATCTTATCATCATCCTTGTCAGTTTAGCAGTTTCTGCATGAGCACCTAATGTGGTAACAGTCGTGTGGGCAAAAAGAGTGATCAAATGTTATGAATCTGTGCTCTACCTTCCTTCCACAGGTCCTACAGAGTTCAGAATCTGTTTTACTCTCTACGTAGTGAAAAAATATTATGCATGAACGCTGTCATTTCTGACCTCCCCACAACGTTCATAACCCAACACTCAAGCTCTAGCCTCTAGATCGTTTAATGCTGCAAACCTAGATAAATCAAGAAATACAAGAAGATCAAACAAGCTTTTGAAACGAGGGAAACATAAAACGTGTGACAGATGGTTACCCTCAAAAACCAGCTTTCATGTCAATCAATTTCTCTTTTAAAGTAATGGTTGATGATCTAATAAGTGTACAACTCTCAGTTATGTATTCTTTTGACTTGCTGACTTTAGAGATATCGTACATAAACCACATGTTCACATGCTTTCAATGGTGAACTCTTCCCCACAAAATATGTACTTGTATAGAAATAAAACCAAGTAAAAAGTCGACATTTTAAATTTAATATTATTAATAAAAACAGATTTGTATATTTTTGTATATTTTAATTTTTTTAAGATTTAGATTATTAATGCTATATTATGTTGCTCTAAGGCTATATATATATAGCTGATGTTCATACTGTTATTTAAAAACGTTTTTGGGCCTTATTTTTGACAAAAGCCTTCAAATGTCGGCCCATCAAGAGTACTTAACACACAAAAATAGCGCGGAAGTAGTTTAGAGTGTACGGAACGGGACGGCTCTGTTTTTCTTTTTTCATCGAATCATGCATTTACAGTGAGTGAGTGGCCGAATCTAGGGAAGAGACCAAATCCAAATCCATAGTGATTCTCGAGTAAAGTAAGCTACTTTCTGTTTGCTTAGATCTCATACAAGAATGGGTCTCTGTTTGTTTTTACAGATCACAAATTCTCTTTTGAGAATTTCTCACTTCTAGGGTTTTTGTGAAGCTTAACTTCTCTTTTCGATTTTAAGCATTACCATGTTTTCAATTGGTCTTTAATCACCCGAAAGTGTCTTGATTTTGGTCTGAAAGAGCTCACATAAAAGAAAGTTTCCATCTTTAGTTTCTTAAAATAGTAATTTTCTCTTGGGGAGTTTGTGTTTGTTTTCAGCTGTTTTACTGTAGAATTATTGGGGTGGACGAGACTCGAAGTGAGGTTTGTATTATAGGTTGCTTTCATCAAGTAGAATTACAAAAAAAAGTTTGAACCTTTTTCATTTTGTTTATAAAGTGAAACATTAGTTGTGTGCTGTTCTTGGTTCTTGGTTATAGTTATAGCCAATTGCACACTAAAAGATGTTATCTTTTACATTTTTTTGCATTTAAGAAAAAGTTAGAACTGTGGTGAAACATTAGTTGTGTGCTGTTCTTGATTTTTTGGGTCATGTTGTTATTAGGTTAAGTAATTGGGCGTTGAATATCAAATAACTCACTTTATATTACTTTATCTTATGTTGATGTGACGGTTACTTTCATGTTTTTTTTTTCAGGATGAGGAAACCAAATACCTCCAAGGTTGTTGGTAGGACAGCTGTGAAGAAGCAATTACTAGCTCTTGGTAGAATGCTGGCTCGTGGTGGTGGTGAAGTGGATTCATCACGCAAGCCACTCAACAGTTTAGCTGCGGGTGGTGGAGCCAGTATGCAGATTGTTTGTGTTGATGATTGTTCTTCAGGATTGGTGTATGATCTAGACTATATGAAGTACATAACAACCTTCAAGGAAAGCCATCAGCATTTGCTTGAGAGGGAGGCTTCTCCGTTGCGGATTATGTATAATGTTGATAAGGAAGCAACTGGTAGGAGTAAGGGTAAGGAAGTGAGTAGAGGAAGGAGAAGATCAGAGCCTCTTCTTTTGAAGAAGTTGAAGACTGGGACTCGTAAAGAAGAGCGTAAGTTAACTGTTTTCAGGAAAGAAGTTGTTCTAAGGGGAAGGAAGATTGCTATGACTAAGGCCATTATCAAAGTGGAGCCTAGAAGAAGTGTTGGCAAAGACATCCAACAAGAGAAAGAAGCTTCTCTACGAGGAAGGAAGAAGATTGATCTGACCAAGAGCACTACCAAATTAGAACCTAAAAGTCATGTCAGAGACACCCGACAAGAGCAAGAAGTTTCTCTACGGGCAAAGAAGATTGCTCTGCCCAAGAACACGATCAAGTTAGAGCCTACAAGTGATGTCAAAGACACACATCAAGAGAAAGAAGTTACTAGACGAGGAAGGAAGCCAAAGAGCTGGAACAAGTTGGATTATGAGGAGAGCAGTGGAAGGAGAGATGCAAAGCCTCAGACGGTTTTGAGAGCTTCAAAGAGACTAAAGGCTGAGAAGATTATCCCAGCGGTTAACACTAAAGATGCTTCACAAGGAGAGAAGAGCTCAGTGACCAAGAGAAATCTCAAAGTATGCAAGAAGGAGAATGAGGAAAGCAGTAGTGAATGGAGAAAGGCAAAGCCTCAGGAGATTTTAAGAGCTTCAAAGAGGCTGAAGACTGAACAGGGAAGAGCAGATACCAAAAGAAAGAAAGAAGAGGCTCCACATGAAGGGAAGATCCATGTGAACAAGGACAAGGCTAAAGCAAAGTCTACAAGTCATCTGAAAGACAACTTAATGGATAAAAGCTATGAATACTTCATAGCGTCTCTGAGAAAATCTGTTACTCTCATTGAAGCTGATCCAGTAGCGAAGCCTGAGAGAGCCTTAGTGTTATCTGATCCTGATATTATTGCAGTCAGTAACTGTCCATTTTTTGATGGAGGCTATTCCCCATTTGAGGCAAACAAAGACGGCAAAGTGATAGTATGTGAACCTCTCTTACTTCCATGTCTTTTGTCATTCTTGTCTTGTCTTGATTTATCTTTGTTGCAATGTTTTCCAAAGGATCTTGAGGATCGTATTGAACCTGAAGATATGTTCAACTCTAAGTTTAGCAAGAAGCTACTGGAAATTCTCAGACAGCCGTATGATAAAGATGAGTTCAAGCAACGCTATCTCGAGGCATCACACAAGAAACAGCTGACTCGGTCTAGGCAACTACGAGATGGAAGAGAGATTGAGTATAATGTTGATCACCAGTTAGGACCTTCATATCTCGACCGGTATCCAGGTAATCTGATGACTACTGCTAGAAATGATGTAACTTTGTGATACTTTCTTGTGTTATGAATCTCTTTCAGTTTTGCCTTTGGTTTGCCATTGGTTTGATTATATGCAGATTTCAAGCGTGTGTTTCGTCGTTCTCGTTGTGTAAAGGATGATGCTAGAGCTTTAAACCTATTGCGCGGCTTTTTCTTTTATTTCGAGGTACAGTTTTTGGTTACAACATGTGCCAAAGTCTGTGTGCACTGGTGTCTTGTGAGATTAGTTAGTTTGCACTATGGATTAATGTCTTATATGATTTGTTTCATTTTGCAGAACATTGTTCTTGAAGGTGCATTCAAACCATGGCTGCATGAAACACGTGTGATGAGAGAATGCAAAGATATTGTATGCATCAAAGCCGAACCACACAACCATTAAACTACATCTCAAGACTCTTGCAAATGATCTATTTGTATGAGATATGAAGCAAAACACCATATCTTTTAGGTAGTAGTAGTTTAATACTTCAAGCATTTAAACTACTCTAATTAAAAAAAACTCTTTAATCTCAGTTTAATCTAGAAAGACATGTAATGCTAAGAATGGAAATGAAAATTGTGATACATCTAATGCTTGTTGTTATATACTATTTTCTCTTTGGTTTTATTACCACAACTATAAGAAGTTCCCCAAAAAAAGACTTCAAAACAAGATGAAAACTGTGAACACACCCCAAATTATTGAAAACTACAAACACAATCCTAAACCATGGAGGTATGAGGGCTAAAAAGAACCCCACAAATCCATCACCCGTCCACATATATACACACACACACACACAATGGCTTCAGTAAACTTGGGGGGGTTTAGTCGAAGCTTGAAGAACGGCTTGTCCTGCCTTTAAGATAATCCTCAACAGAGACACCTTGCTCAAAGCTACCCATGGAGATAGAGTCATCTTCAACATCAAGAAGCGCAAGGTTAAGGTGTGACTGCAACTCAGATCTTTGAATTTCCTCATCCTCAAGCATCTCTGATTCATCTGAACTACTACTCACTTGTTGTATTGCCCACTGGAGCGTGTCTTCATCGCCTTTCAGCAGCTTTAAGACCTGCATAATTCCACATTCGTTAAGATACTTCATATAGGTGGTTGAATATATTAAAAGAACATGACTTACACTGCTCATTTTCGGTCTAGCTTGAGGGCTACGTCGAATACAAAGAGTAGCAGCTAACACCATCCTCTGCATTTGATCAGTATTCTTGTTGTTATCCCGCAAACTTGGGTCTAATAACTGACAATACTTCCCAACTTCTAGAATTGGTTTGGCCTGTACATGAACATTACACACATTCTTATTTCAACAAGAGCAGCAGAGAACATACTATTAAAGGTCTCTGACAAAATACTTACCCACATGACAAGACTCTCTTGTCCCTTTGGACAACCGCTGCTAATAGGTTTTCTTCCAGAAAGTAGCTCGAGGAGTACAACACCAAATGCATACACATCTATCTTATCATTCACCTTACCATACATGAAGTACTCTGGAGCCAAGTAGCTGCAACAAGAAAAAAACAAGATTAGGCAAGAACTTTTGTGAAACATCAGCTAACCAAAAAAAAAAAAAAAACAGTACTCTTCCATACCCAAAGGTTCCTGCAACGTCTGAGCAGACTATATGAGTTGTAGATATAGACGCCCACCTCGCAAGCCCAAAATCAGAAAGCTGAGGCTCAAAATCATCAGATAATAGTATGTTTGATGACTTAACATCTCTATGGATGACAGGTTGAGAAGCACTGTTATGCAGATAGTCTAATGCCTCGGCTACTCCCACAGCCACTTTGTACCTCTCTCTCCATTGGAATGCAAACAGATCTTTCTTGTTTCCTAAATTTGAAACAAAGCATTTTTGTTTAGAACCATGACCATAATAGAATCTCAGAGTTGCTTAAAAAGGTTAAGGGCTTTGTCTACCGTGAAGGTTTTCTTCTAAGCTTCCTCTTGACAGATAATTGTATACAAGTAATAGGTTATTGTCTTCAAAGCAAAAGCCTAAGAGGGAGATAATGTTCTTATGACATAACGTTGTGATAATCTCGATCTCGGCCACGAAATCATTCAAGACATCTTCTGTTTGCTTGAGAATCTTCACAGCAACCTCTCTTCCATCAGACAAACAGCCTCTATAAACCCTGCTGCTACCTCCTATCCCAATGAAATTATCTGAAAACCACAATGCTTTTACTTAGTTACATAACAAGAGCCTTCAAGAGCTATAAACATGTCATCCATAAAGGAGAGAAGAACACACCAGGGGAGAAGTCTGATGTCACTGAAACAAGTTCCTTGTATTTGAAAAACTGGCAAGTTGAAGAGAATCTCTCGTAGAGTCTCTCTAACTTCTCAGGGAGCTTTTTTGGACTATTGTCAGGAGTGGTGATAGAAGAATCATAACCAATTTGCTTACTGCTCCTCGGAGGAAGCTTCAAAGCCCATTGAGCTACTGGTATCTGTTTAGACGAAGTCCTGTGAGGTGTAATGGGTTGTCCTGAAGATAAAGCACGACGAAGTAAAGGCCAACCTGGTATAGTTTCAGGCTGTTTACTAATCAACTTAGTTATAGTACCGCCTGATTCTTCCTCTAGACCTTTCACAGGCACAATCTCCTTTGCTTTGTTGCACTCATCATCATCTCCAGATAACTTTTGAGACAAAGAATCAGAACCACAAGCTGAACAACTCTCTAAACGAGCAGCTTCTAAGGCCTGTTGCAAACTCTGTCCACAAGGTTGATCTTCCTTGGAAGCCTCCTCACAATGGCTAACAACTCTAGTTGGTGTACTCAATGTAACAGATCTCTGAAGCACATTCAACAAAGTGTTCCTCCTAACATCTTCCTTCCCTACAACCAAAACTCCAAATCTAAACTACTAAACCCAAAGGGTAAAAATGGTGAAACTATTTCAAGAGACAAAAAGGGTCAAACCTTGAGAATGATCAAAGGCAAATGATGGAAGAGGAGAACCTTCTCTCTGAAACACAACTTTACCATTGTTCACAGCATGAACCCAACACTCCTTAGGCAGCTTCTTCCCCAAGTACTTAGCCACAGAAGCTGATGAACGAATCGTGTGGTGAGTTTTCGAAACTCCAACTATAACTTTCCAAGCACAAAACGACTTCGCTTCTCTAGCTATAATCTTTTTAGCCGAGTCACCACGACACAGCTTCAGCTTCAAATCAACCTATACCAAAAAAGGACAAAACTTTTCTCAAAAAAGTATCAAAACTAAGTCAAGAGATTGAAAAAGTTTCAGACTTTATACCTGTTTTAAGTTGCAAAAGCCTTCGTAAACATCGAGAACAGAGTCGAATGTTTTCACTAAAGAGAGAAGTGAAGAGTTCTTAACAATCTCTACACAATAAAGATCAAAACTTTATTATTACAGAACATAAAAAAAATCGAAACTTTATTATTACAGAACAAAAAAAAGATCGAAACTTTATTATTACAGAACATAAAAAAGATTAAAGCTTTAATGTAACGAGAAAACGTTTTCTTATTTACCGTTGGTGAGAATATGAAGAGCGATCACAGTATCACCAGGCTCAGCGACTTTGACTAAAGCCCATGTGAGTAACTCTCTGCTCGGCGCGTCTAGCTTCACGCCTACGAGAATCGTACGGCCAGTTTCTCCTTCCTCGATGGAGCTCTGTTCTATCATTGTTAACAGAGGTTTTGTCTGAGTATTTCAAATGTTTTCCTTGTTTTGTTTGAGTGTGTGGTTTAAAGGGTTATATAGACAAGATCCTCTGTTTAGTTGCAGAGGAGGTCTAAGTTTTAACCGCAGGTTAGGTTTTGGGTTTTGAGAAGAGAAGGTATCTTATTATTAGAAATGATTTTCTAACCCTACTACCTCTAGTTACTTTACTGTATTTTTTTGTTATTTAATCATTGTTTTTCTTGTTATTATCTATGTCGTTTTCCAGTTTTTGACATAGTCTTACTGTGCATTCAATCACACAATGACATAAGCAATGTTTTTTAATACTGACTCTGTTTTCATCTGAAAAGCCAACACAAAAATCAGTTGAAATGTTGGTTTTATGTATGCTAAAAATCATGCGAGTAATATAGAGAATAATAACGGTAAAAGAAAAACAAATCAACGATAAAAATGGCGAAAAATAAAACAGTTTCAGTGTTAAGAAAATGAAAATGTATAGATGAAAATTTGTTTCAGCCTATTTTCTAGATTACTGTTGAAGTTTTGACTTAGTTACTTATCTTTTTCAGTCATATGAGTATAGGTAATTCCACAAAAATACATAGATTAAATAAATATGGATAATCACTTTCTCTTTATGTTTAAATACCAAAACACATTAAAATATACTTCCACAGATATTATTTTCAAAAAATTTGATGAGATTTTAAAATTTTAATATAGAATTTATTAATAATTTATGATCAATGATATTAATAGTCTATTTTGTTATTAGTTGATTTGTAGTTATGTGAATAATTAATCTATTTTGGTGAAATATAATAAATAGTTTTTAAACATGTGTTTATCTCTAAAAATGTTATATATTAAAAATGGAAGAGTATATAATGAATAACCATTTTTACTGCATGGACCATGGTTATAAGCTGCTATAATAAATGCAGTATATTTCTACAAGAATGGGTCGGTGGAAATAAGACCGTTTTGTGGCTCTAAAACATGTCCGGTCCAAAGAACAAAACATACCATGTCATGTGATCTCTCCAACAACCCATTAACCTACAAATGTCGATCTCGTCCATACACACGTCATTATAACGGAAGACGTTACCTCCCATGCTTACCGGTTGCCGCAGGTAACGTGCACAACATTAATGACGTAAATTAGATAAAACGGCGTTAAATTATTTTGTTACGTGTGTCATCATTGCCGAAGAAGAAGGTTAGTTAGTTAATTATGATGCTGGAGAAAATATGGAGCGAAGCAGTAACAGAATACCTGCCGTTTTAGATGCGAGGAACGACATGCCAACTAAATCTGAAAGGCATGCATCATCGTCTACTTCATCATGAGTTGTGGACCCTCCTTCCCTTACCTTCTCTTTATTATTTTTCTTATATCACTATCTCACTTATTTCCCTTGCATTTTCAATACAAACTATGATTATATATAAAAGATTATTGCTCGTGGACAAAGAAAATATTTTTTAAAGATTATTGCTAGGGCCTAAGAGTATCTTTCTATTGTTGTAATTGATTTCTAAACAAGATGTCTTATTAATTATGTTGAAGGTATTCCATTGTTTGGTTACTAATCTTCATAATGTTATACTCTATCCGTTTCAGTTTACATGTCATTCTAGAAGAAAAAAAATCGTCTCAAAACAAGTGTTATTTTATAGTTTCGATATAAAATTTATTAATTTTCTATTTTTTTATTGGTTGAAATGTGGTTAGTTGTATAGGTAATAGTGTTTTTATTTTTGTTTTTAAAAAATAAAAAATTAAATATTTTTTTAATATGTGTGCAAAAATCTAAAACGACAACTAAAATGAAACGAAAAAAGTATTATTCAATGGCATAATCAGTGTTGTAAAAATTGGTGTTTATGTTCCGAATAATTAGTTTAATCATTAGGTTTAATACAAAGCATGTAGACAATGCCTAACAAATTTCGTGAACATTGGGCATAACTAATAAGAAATGAAAGTGGCAACAAACTGATCAGAGGGGTCAACACACATCAACCAGAAGATGAGGAAACGTAGACTACTAAGTTGGTGGCTTTTGTTTCCGCCACGACAACGCCACTCGATCTTACATATTCTCATTTCTTTAAAATTAATTAATTTAGGTGTAAACCTAATCATTCTCTTCCATTTTTTTGCATTAACTCAAAGAAGCGTGAATCATGACCATACATTATACAAAATATCATGAACCATATAAAAATAGCGTGTCATTTAAAACGATTGAGAGTTACATGTATACATCAGAGTTATGCCAATTTGATAGAATTAAATGTGAGCAAGATAAGGAAATTTATTATTTCTTTAATCAATACCTTTCAATGATAAAAACACGTGTATTATTAATGGATCACTAATTCAAAATTAAGGCGCCATGACAATGATTTGTCTGCGACATCTACATTCATTGTGGTTATACACTTGACACAATCACAAACTCGATTTGGTTGTTGCGCTGGTACTGATGAAAAAAGGTAGGCAGATCACTGTATTTTTAAATGATAACAATTCTAAATTTCTAATATATTATAAACTTATATTCGTCATTTACGGCTGGAAGTCGAAAGCAATTGTATAAAAAATACATTATAATTATATATCTTTTTTTGTAATACATTATAATTAATTATCAAAGCAGTGCTGAAGTAAAACTACTGCAGAGCTGCAGGTAAAAGAAGAATTGTATATTTATGTTGAGTGCCACCGAACATATAATAGTGATATTGTATTGAACATCTACACGAGTACATTTATACATGATTTTTTTACGTACGTCCATGCGTTGTGGATCAATTTAACCATATGCGTCTCTGAACAAAGCAAATAGTAACACAATTACACAAATGACTGCGAGTCTGAGACTTATGAACAAATCTTCAACTGCAACTTCAACTGCAATATGCATGTTCTTTTTTTGTCTGCAACTGATCAGGCTTAACATGCACGATCTTGTAAAACTCGGTTCATTTAATTTTAGTATTTTGACATTTGCTAATATTCGTTCCTACTATATGTGAACTAAGAGCTTCTGCCTGCATTACATTCAGTACTCGTAATGAACAAGAAATGAGAAGAGAAGACAAAGTCGTGGTTATAACATAAAAGTTCTTAAATTCAATAGATCGTGATGAATGTGGACGTTTGTAATATTTTTGGCTTGTTACGTGTCATCATTCTGGTGCTTATATTTATTGTCCCTTCTATTTTAGACGTTGGTATTTTTTTTTTGGCTCATGCACGTGAATTATATATGATTATACGATATTATAATATGCTCACATTTTGAAAACGTCTCCAGTATTGACATTTATATCTCACAACTATAATAACTATCGAAAACTATCTTTCATAAAATTGAATGGAATTCAAAAATTTGACATCTCAACGTAATATGGTTTTACATTTATAATGTACTGAAGGCAGAAATTTAATAAAATTCTCTTTTATTTTATATATATAATAGTGATTCGATAGTTTTTACTATTTATTACTTATAAATTTAAATATTTAGAATTACAACAAACAACATTATAGATAACACAGTTCAATAACACAAACAATTTTACAATTTGGTTTACAATTGATGTTTTATTCATTTCACAGTATGCATGATGATTTAACCTCTAATATGAATTAACTATTACGGTAGCTACACTTATAATACATTTAAAACTCTAATAAATATTCCGCCTATATATATTTATAAATACTATTTTTTGTAAAAATAGTATTAACAAATGACCAACTACTACATAAGGAAGTTTTTTCAGTACAAAAACCTTTTGAACTTTCTTTTCATATATTTTTTAAATGATAATCTGGATGCAATAATAGAACCAATAATTTAGGTGCGTCATGTAAAGAATAAAAGAAAGGTCTTAAAAAGATGAAGAAGTTGGCAGAAAATAAGCAAAAAGACATAGCGTTGCACAAGTCAAAACCTTCTCCATCTGTTTTGTGGAATTTTGTAGGTACTTAAGAGAGAATAAGCTGAGGTCTCTTATGCTATAAGAAGATGCTACTTTTGGTAAGCCAAGTTCTCGAATGGATGCAGAAGATTTGGGAATGGGACCTAAAGCTTTTCAACCTTGCTCATATACCTCATAACCGTAAGCCTCAAGCAGTGAAAGCAACGCTACTTAAAACTTTTTTGCAAAAGAGAAGAAAGAATGTGATTGCTCTTACATGCGACTTTTAATATTTAAAAAGTCATAAACAAAAGAATTTTAAATATACTAATAAGGAAAGAAAAGCACATGATTCCCCTCAAAGGGGACTTTACTATAAGCAAAACTAACCAACCAATCACTGTAATTCTCCTTGAGAGCTGCATTGTCTCTCCATTTCAACTCTCATTGACTGTATACTTCTCTAAAGCTAAGAGTTTCTTACTTGTTGATCTTCTTCTCTAAAAGTTAGGTTTCTTGTTCCGCACCCATGGAGGAACGTTCTGTTTCTGTTGCCGAAAGTAAGTCGTTCCTATATCAGATGAAAACTCCCTCTTCCTGTTTGGAGCCGTTGAGACAGTCCCGGTTGTAGCCGGTAAGAACCCATTTCTCTTAGCGAAAAACTCACCATGAGAAACCGGCGGAAGAGGTGGGAATGGAAAGAACGGTATCCCAGGAGCAACGGACCAGCTAGTAGGGTCTTCTTTGCTGGGTGAACCAAGTTGATGAACGATGCTAAGAGGGAGCCCATAAGAGACTGTTAACCGAGAAAGGAACTTTTCTTGTGGCTGTGCGGTGACTGCATCAGGCGCATCTGTGCAAGGTGATGAAAACCCTGGTGGAATGTCGTCTAGGGTTACATCTGTTTGTTGAGATGGCTGGTCCCATCTGCTTTTTCGCTTGCGTCCATTAGTCTTGGGAAGAGTGGGATTAGGTTCTGAGGATCCTTCAGATACAGAGGCTGTTTCAGGTGTTGCAGCCTCTGATGATGTGACTGATGCAAATGGTTCTGCATGTCTTGGAGAATGATGATCATGTCTAGATTCTTGTGACATTCTGAATCTGCTGTTTATAGGTGATCTTCTAGACTCTGATCTCTCCCTGTCGATGACGCGCCAAGGTTTTCTGTAAGGCTTAGGGATCCATCTGTCTCGAAAGTTCCGTGCAATTTGATGAACCTGCAGCCATACATATGCAACCAATTGGTTCAAAATTGTCATATGGTGTCTAAGAGTCTTAAATTTTAGTGTGATGTCATGAATAAATTGGACGTTAGGTACCTGTTTGTCATCATGCTCGGTGAGTGTTAGAATAGAGTCCTTAAAGCTGCACACAGATAAACTTGAAAATGTCAGAATATAGTATCACAAGTGCAAAAGCAAGGGTCATTATGAAAAGATACCAATACTTTTTAAGTTCACCTCAGATAAATTACACTGAACCGTCTGACTTATAAATTTGACACACATAATGTACTCAATGGCTTCATTTTAATTTTGACACTAACTATTTTTTTTTAAATGGTATTGTTGACTCAAATCCAGGATATGAACCCAATAAAATGCTTAGGTCAAAGATAAAGTACCAAAGCGACATAGCCTTGATTAAAAATTACGAACCTTTCCACCCCTGCACAAGGAGGTGGTCTGACTATATGCTCCAGTCCAAGAATATCCCTTGTAGCAAGATACTCTAATACCTGAGGCAAAACCAATGATATTGACAGTAAACAACCAAGAATTCAGAGCGCATTAGCAAGAAAATCGTAAAACTCTTTGGTAATCACTTTGACCTGAGGTTTCATACCATACTTGACAAATATTTCACATTTCCAGATGAACCAAGAATTGCCTTTGGGTTGGAATTACCATTTACTAAACAAGGGTAAGTGTGTTCTGACCAATTTATAAACAGAAGCAGCAGGTTACAAGGAATGTACCTTCAAAAGTTTTCGGAGTATTGGGGTCTTTTTAAAATCACCCCGGTACTGTTTCATGATATGATGCAACATTTGCAGACCTACATGTGTTTGGAGGTTAATTCATCTTTAGGTGGTAAGAAAAGATTCATACGTCACGTAGGTACTGAACTAAAAGAAGAGAGACTTACCATTCTTGTTGATTACGTCCACTAAAACTGTTCGTGACTTTGTCTTCAAAAGGGCATCCAGAATCATCGAAAGATCTCGATTGCTGCAATAGGTTCACAGAAAACAACAAGAAATTCAGGCAACAGATGCAGAGTATAATAAAAATCTACAATGGTAACCTAGAAACGCAGGTTTAATTCTTGAAAACCTTTGAATTCCTTCATTACTGGCATTGCCTCCAGAAGCAGCAGTGAGAAGCAAAAGTTTCAAGTAGCCTTTTACTGAATCCTGTTTGTTCAACAAAGAAAAAGCAAATTATGCCAAGCAAATTATGCCAAGGATGTTTTAACCTATTAGCATAACTAATTAAAGTGGGAAAGTCAATAGACTTAAGGAGTAATGCTAAGAAACTTACACGCCGCTTGCTTATCCCTCCCACAGCATCTAGTAACTCGTTCAGTTTTCCTTCAACTGCAAATTTAGTAGTGTTATTAGCGAGTATATGACTGAAGGATTATGGTATCGTAATAATGCACTTCTAATACTAGTACATACATGTTTCGATACGCCCACTGGGAGAAACTTCCTCTGATCCTTTAGATTTGATGGGCTGTTGCTGCAACTTTTTGACTGGTATGATCTGTGCTTTGTTGACACCAGGAAGAACACCTCCTTTGTCTCGCTTACTAGAGCCAGATGAACGAGAAGTTTTCATACGAGGATGTGGTCGTGAAAGTATCTTCTTATCATCAGCCGATCCATGCTTTACTGTCTTATCAGCATTTGCACCATCAGAGGACAGTCTGCTGTGAAAACTGGACGTGGGAGATGTGCTTTTATTCTTCTTTTCAACAAGAACCTCCTTCTGGACAGTAATGCCAGGCATGTCCGTCGAAAATTCCTTGGAAACTTCTGTTGGCTGAAGAGATGGAAGAATGTCTCTCTCTGGATGTTTTACAGTTAATGGGCTCTCTGGTTTGGAATTATCAGAAGCAAGGTCCTTCGAATCATGAATTTTTGTAGAATTCTGCGGAATTTGCATGTTAGCACCATCAATGAAGATCCTAGACGTTGCATCCAAGATTCCTTCCCCACTTTCATCATCATCAAGGATCACCAGTTCAGGACACTCTTCATCTGAGTCACTTTGAACAATTACGTCACCGTTCAAAGGATCTCCGCCAATGTAACCTCGGCAATGTGATGACCCACAATAACACTTTTTGGCAGCAGCACCAGAAACCCTCACATAGTTGTAGTCAAAAGTCAACTCCTGACCCTGGCAACGCAACATATAGATTAAAAAATGTCAGACCTTCATCGTATTTGGCGTTGACGTTTGTATCTGTTAGCATGTTAATAACTGTGTCCCCTTTAAAAAGAGAACAGAAAACCTTCGGTTTAGTTTCCAAAGAATGTTCTATAAGAAAGCTATGATATGGTGTTTTCAAACGTGCATATCATTTTAGCTACTAAGCATATTGAAAAAGTTGGGCCTATCGTCAGATACATTCTCAAACAAGATATTTTTCGTTATGTATGGGTGGTAGATTGCAGGAACTTATCAGCTAATTTTGACGTTTACGCCTGTGCAGAGCCAAGAAGAAAAGACATCTCAACTAAAATTCAGTATCACAGAATAGTCACTTTCACAGCCGCAAGTGCAAGAGAGCCTACCTTCTTAAGGTCTTGCATGGAGAATATTCCAACGCAAATTTCACCATTCACCATCCACTGCAACAACATTCAAGAAGTAGCAAATGAAAAAAAACACATAAAAGCAGAAGTGGAATAATTTATCAAATATCAAAGAAGCAGACAAGCTCAAGAAGAAAGTTCTCAATTCAGATTTCTATCACTGAGTATATAAACGGACTATGAGGCATGATACCTCAAAGAAAACTAAACAGTCACCTTTTCAGTACGGCAGTTTGGTTGACAACTATGGTTGATGAAACGCCCTAAATTTCCTTTTGAACCAGCATCTATTACCTGCATTAACAAAAAAACTTAAAAATTAATTGCAAGATGCAACATACAGGTATAGCTTCCGAAAGGAACATAAAAAACGGAATAGGCTTTCAACCTAATGCAGATGATATGTTAAAGAATAACTATTACAAGCACAACCAACAGAAGTATAACCTCTCTGTACACAATGGTATCAAATAAGAGACGCAACGTAACTAACCACAGCTGCAAGCAAAATGCTTATAAAGGTTTACAAAGATGGGTCTTCACTTCTCTAAATATGCTTCTAAAATCAGAAACGAGACACGTAATCGGAACAATATGCAGTATACACGTATTTACTATTAATCGCACATATTTTAGTCAACAACTCTACAAGCCAATCAAACATGAAGAAAGAAGCAGCTGACTTATTAAAAAAACAGATGTTTACCTCATTCCCATTGAGTGTCATGAAATAGAAATGCTTCTGACCCATGGAAGCATAATCCTTCTGACGAGTCTCATAGGACTGCATATCAAGCACCTGTTGTTAAAGAAGATGATTCATAAAACAGTTCTTTTTTTCTAGTGGCCAAGTCACGGTATAAACATGTATGAATAAAAGAACACAGATCACCAAAAGCATACCTCTCCGACGTATTCAATAAGGAATTGCCCGTCGCGTACATCCTCAAGCAATCTTAGGCCATAACCCTTCTTACCAGATTGGAATCTTTCAAACTTAACATACTTCCGTTTTTGAAACTGCAAAAGTATGAGCCAAAATATTAAGAAAGATATAACTTGACTGTGAGTGTAACGCTTTTGCTTGCAAACAAGACATCACACCTGCTGATTAGAGCATAAATCGCCAGCAGGACAGGTACCATGAAGACATTCAATGTTAAGCATTCTGTTGAGGCATTCTTCTCCACAACCCAATCTACCATCAGGTGGTGGTTTACAGTGACAAACCATTATCTGTCCAAAATAGAAGGAAGCATGGTAACTACGTAGTAACTCCAGAAAAGGATAATAACAATATTGACAGCACAAGTACATTTTCTACTAATACATTCCTACAATAGCAAACAAACCGAAAAATGCATGAAACTAACCTCGTCAATTGTTTGATTTTTACGATTCCGATGAAGAAACTGGTTTGTTTTTATAGCCCTGAAGCACGCCTTTTTCTTACCTGCAAAAGCCGGTAACAAAAACACAAAAATAAATCCATGTAAAATAATATGAAAGTTTTCTATTCTTCACCAATATTCAACTCTAAGCACCTGCCAAAGGTTTACTCTTTTGTTCCTTGTCTTTCCCCCTTTTATCCGCCTCACAATCGTATGCATCTGCTTCATCTTGTCCTATGCCCAACTCTTCATTAATTTCTTCATTTGGCATCTCTTGAGATATTGAGCAATGAGCAAATTCTTTTTCTGAGTTGTTCGCACAGATCCTTTAAAAAACATATAATTCATATTAGATATAGAGAAAGACTCAAAAGATTTAATAGATGACTGACGTAGCAAGTGTGGAAAGCAAAACAAGCTCTGGAAGAAGTCCAGAAGTGATGTACATCAAAAAAGCGGAAAAAGCATTTGACAATCTGATTATAAATATTTGACACACAAATTTCAAGTTTGCAAAAGTATTAAGCAGATTATATAAGAAACCTATTATGCACAGCATAAAATTGGAAACTTTGATGAAATAGGTTAAAGTTGACAGAACCGAGACAAGCACATAGTTTAGCCAGATTTGTAAACTGCATCACGATTAACTATGGAATGATACATACCATCTTGAGCTCTCGTCAATTGACTCGACAACAGAAGCAGGTATTCGTCGCCATTTGAAGCAATCATCACATCGAACCCATGCACTCTCAGTGGAAGGGCTATCCTCGATAGTAACGTCCGTGGCCAATTCCCCATGGATCACATCTGATGATATGGCGCCATTAATGGCACTGGTTTTTCCAATATCAGCGTTTAGAAGAGCACCTATTACATGAATTCACATAATATGCAGCTTAATAATTTAAGTATCCAAAAGAGTGGACGCTTCATAAAAACAAGGGTGTAGATAACGGTCAGCAACACTTAAAGCTGATCAAAAGGGCCGTACCTGTTGTTTCGTGAGACTCTATTCTCCCTACTTCATGATGATCACTATCATCCCTTCCAACACTCTTGTTTATGGATTTCAATTGCTCCCCACATGATTCACTTTTTCTCCTGTCTTTGGCAGATTCGGACTTGGATTTCCCCTTTTTTGTTCCATTACCTTTTGACCTAGGTTGGTTACCTTTTTTGGCGATGGGAATTAGATGTGAACCATTTTCAGAAGATGTTGAAGCAAGTAATTCATCTTCTTTTTCTAATTGCATGTTCCTGTTAACCACATCTTCTGGAGTGCTGCAAAATCCGAGAGGCAAATCCCCTTTAAGTCCAATACCGATTATGGAATCAGGCACAGAGTTGATAACTTCTGAATCTGGTGAGGTTTCAGCATCCAGGGACCGGGTTCCAGTAGTCCTCTCGCACTCTTCAACCATTATACTAGAGGAAAGGTGTGGGCCCTTATCTAAAACATCACCACCTAGCTTCCTACTTAACCCTCCAGCGTCTTGGTTGTTTTTCTCATCCATACTGGAATCAGATGACAGCCGATATGAAAGTTTATCCACAGGATTGCTTTTCTCTTCGAAATGCTCTCTAGTTTCCACAGTTCGGAGTTTATCCTCGACAACAATTGCTGGCCCTGAATACTCTGAACCTGTTCCTGCCTTAACTATATCAGTAGCAGCCAAAGAGTTACCACTGACCTTAGAGACTGTAACGTTCAGAGGATTTTGGCCACCTGATTTACCGAATTTAACTTTCAAACGAAGGCCAGAGCCACTTGATGCTTGGATGTTCCTGTTAGATCCTTCTACATGCTCTCCATTTTTATTATTGCTCTGACGTTGATGTGGAGGTCCATCATGAGAAATACCATTGCTCTGTAAGAAGATTTCAGCGGTCCTACTTGGTAATCCCCACTGAGATGAACGGCACGGTTTTGAAACCAAGCTCCTCTTCTGCTTGGAGCACTTGAAAACTAATTCTAATTTTCTTTCCGATTGTTTCTTTCTAGAGGATTTTCTCGGCTGAGGACCACTCCTGTTGGTCTGCGCCAAATTACCCTGTTTACTATTTCGAGATCTCCTTGGCCGTGAAGACTCGCAAGTCCCGGAACCAGAAGCAACTTCACCGGCTATTCTGCCATTGCCACCTACAATTCTGAGTGGCTCAGCTACATGGTCAAGATTACGAGCTTCGATGCCTCCATTACCAAATGGCAATGGAAAACTCCTTATTAAAGAAGAGTCAGTAACAGGACAATCGGTTTCCACACCAAATCTATTTCCATTATTCATACTCAGAGCGGCCACAGCACGTTCACTTGATGACTCTCCAACATGGTTCCTTAGCAGTTTTTCATTCTTCTCAGAAAGATCAGTATGAAACTCATCCTCACGCACCAACCTCAAATCTGGATTGATCGCCTCTGAATCTACAGTGTCGTCAAGATCATTTGAACATAGACCACCACCATCATTACTTACCATTTTTCTGATAGCTAATGAAGGGGATACCACGAGAGGCATATTGCCTTCAATCTCACCTGAAGACTTCATACAATTCTCTCTGTCGGTGCAGCTAAAAACTCCCGAATCCAATACTGAATCTGGATACGGACTACTCCTAAGGAAAGACACATCATCAGATAAACCAACATCATGATCACTACCTCCACAATCAAAGGCTCCACTAAAACCATCACTTCCACCTTCACCAATATTTACGCCCTTTGCAGTTTCCACAGACTCTCCATTTACAAAATTCGTCTCAGTATCTATCTCACCGACCCCTATAGGCAACACTGTGCCACCCTGCTTATTGCAATCCACAAGTAAACCACCCTTAAAAACCGAATCTCGAATTTCCTCAACCTCATCTGTAACCACTCCCTGCTCCTGACTCTCCTTACCAATGCAACAAACATCTAAACCAGTATCAGAGTTCTCATCACGCTCAATCTCTATAAAACACTTCTTCCTAGGGTTTACAACCTGTGGAAACCCTAAATCTATATCCTGGCCAGCCTTCTCAAGACTTGATCCCTTAGCGTTAGCATTCATATCATCATTGCAATCCATTGTAATGCCACCTGAAACAACATCAAAAAAGCATAATCAGAATATCATCGAAGAACCCTAAGCAGATTCCAAAAGCTTAACCTAACATTGATGATTACAAACAACAACGAAACTCTCTGATTCTACTCTTTAATCGAACAATTAGATAAAAAAACGAAACCCTAACCTCGTGAATCAGAAGCTAACATAAGCCGGAGACGACGATTGTGATGGCTCTCTGTTTTTTTTTTTTTTTTTGCGATTGCGATTTTTTTTTCCCTTTCTCAAGTTTTTTTTGTTTTGTTAAAATTTGCTTTTGGACTCGGGTCTTTTCGTTCGATTTGAGGACTCTTGACTTTAAAATCTTTGTGGTGTTTATATATTTTAATCTCGCTCAATGATTTTGATGAAATTGATGACTAGATTAAACTAATTTTTTACAAATAAACATGTTTTTGTAATCTTATATTGTTTGGGGTAGTCAAAGGTTTTTGATATCTTTACATCATCATTAGAAAAGAAATTAATAACTTTACACTCAGAGATTCTCGCCAGCTTTTTTTTTTTTCTTTTCCAAAAGGGCTTGGAAATTTATGTTTGAGATATATTCAGATATATGGGCCTGTCCGTTTTAGAATGGTCCCAATGGTGGTCCATAATACTATTAAGATATTTTTATTTGTTTCTTAATTAGCTGCGTTTAGTCTAATCTAATATTCTAATTTTTTATTTATTTATACTATACCTTATACTCGTTCCTATAATGTTTTTTTTTTCTTTTTTTTTCACTAGTTGTTTTTTCTTTTGTTTGAGTTAAATTTGTTGTAATGCTCTGACTGTTGTTAATGATTATCCTCATTCGGTTTGTGGATCTATATTCCGTCTGACAACCAACACATTAAATCTTTGTTTACCACATAATCTGTTTTTGTATTTTAGTCTTATTCACACGATATTATTAATCAATTTTCGATAGATCACTTATTCTACAACTATTCCATGTTAAACACATTTAATTCTAAAAGTAATTCGAATGTGCTCCACAAAATATATATTTTGTAAGATAGATAACCAAATCAATTATGTTAAGCACTTCTACATATATCACAAATCGAAATGTTATATTTACGTTTATTTTGTTATTGTATATAAGTTAATAAATTTTTTTACACATAAAATTTTAAAAAAACATTTAACAAAAAAAAACAAATATGGAAACTCCTTTATTTATTTATTTATTGTGCTGTGAAGGCCTATGGCCTACATCTCTTATCCGACTGGGTGACGGAAGAAGGCTCAAGCCCGTCACTGAGATTCACAAGCCACTTGACCACAATGTCCTCCCCAAATAAAAACCATAAAATAAAACAAAAATAAAAAATAAAATAAAATGAGGAAATAAAAAAAAGGGGAAGCGTCCCGCGCAACGTTCTAACAAAATAACCCTCCTCTCACTTCCAATCTCTCTCTCTCTATCTCTCTCTCGTCTCTCCACAATCAAAATCTCCTCCTCCTGATTCTTCTCACACCGTCCCCAATCCGGGTCTCTCTACCCATCCCAACCCCGACCCGGACCCAATTCACACAATGGACGAACCACAAAAGGCAATCACACCAACAGACGACGCTTCAACTCCCGCCGAATCGTCGAGGATCTCGCCGAAGCTGATAACGGCAGGTGATCGGAAATTACTCAAGGTGGAGCTAAGAGAAGGGGACACGACGTACGTGTCTTGGAAGAAGCTTATGAAGGAAGCTAGCAAAGGGATTGAGTCGTCGGATTCTGGGCTTCACCCGCCTCCTAATGCTAACCCTAATCTCGAGTCTCGCATTGCACCTGTGAGTTTATGGCTGTTAGATGCATATAATAATTCAAATATTTGGACATGTTTAATTTCGTTGTCTCTGTTCGATTAAGGTTTGTGTTGGATACTCCTGGTAGTTGAAATTGGGATATTATGGTTTATTCAGACAGAACCGCACTGTTGTTGACTGATTGTCGGATAATTTTTTTTTTTTTGTTGGTTGGGGGAGGTTTTTGTGAGTGTTGTTTGAAGTGGATATGAAGAATTGTGCTGGTATTGAGGATGATCCAACACAAAAAGGTTGTTCCAACAGAGACAACGAAATTAAAAGCACAATAATAAGCAAGTTTTCCGACATATGCATCTGTTTGTGCTTTTAATTTCGTTGTCTCTGTTGGAACAACCTTTTTTGTGTTGGATCATCCTGGTAGCTGAAACTGGGACATTCTGGTTGATCCAGACAGAACCGCATTATGTTTTGAATGATTGTCGGATAATCTTTTTTTTTTTATTGGTTTGGGAAGATTTGTGTAAGTGTTGTTTGAAGTGGATATGATGAATTGTGCTGGCAATTCCCCCTTGGCATTGAGTTTGATTCTAGGGTTTCAATATGCAAACTCTTGAAACTAAGAAAAAAACTACACTTTACATCGAATTACAACAACACTTAGTCTCAGTCAGTAATTTGAATTGTGGTTTGGTTGCATTGCTGATTACTTGGTGTGATCATTAGTGTTGTCGAAGTGGATATGAAGAATTCTTTGAGTTTGTTTATAGGGTTCCAATAAGCAAACTAAGGAAAAAACTAGAACTTATAGTGAATTTGTCGTCGTATAGTCTCAGTCAGAATTAGAATTACGGTTCGATATTTGGATTGGTTGCTTTGCTGATTACATTTCTGCAACTTCGTTTTTGATTAAAGTGAATATGACATCAATTGGTTCAGACTGTAGCCGTGTTTACTTTAGATCGTATGAGTGAAGATTATGATATGCAAATGTTATTTTTTTTTTATGCATACGATTTGAATCAGGTCAGTTTCTAATGCTCTGTTGATATATTGTAATGCAGGGGATACCAGCAGAGGGTGAAAAAGCCGAGCAACCTCATTCTAATCGTTTCAACGCTGTTATAGAGAAGATCGAGAGGCTCTACATGGTTTGTTTCCCTAATTTTTCTCTTACCATTGTGTCTACTGTTTAGCCTAACGAGTTAGATGAATGTTTGATTTTACTTACGTTAGTAAATAAATTTTTCAGGGGAGAGATAGTAGTGATGGGGAAGAGTTAGATGGTGCTCCGGACGATGACGAGTATGACACTGAAGATTCATTCATTGATGACGTTGAATTGGTTAGTATAGTTATCTCTTATGCGATCAAAGTGAACCCTGATAGCTGAGACATTTGTTTTTCTTTTGCATTGTAGGATGAGTATTTTGAAGTTGATGATGCGAAAATTAAACATGATGGATTTTTTGTCAACAGTGGAAAGTTAGAGCTGATGTAAGTTTCTTGTTCTCTTATTATTACATCTTGTCACACTCCATGTTGTGGAGAATAGGCAATGGAGAGCATAAATTTGCTATCTACCATTTACCAGTTTATCTAAATGTTGATTCCTTTCTACTACAGTGAACCGTCGACAACTACAGCATCTACCCAGAAACCGAAGAAAAGGCAAAGGAAAGAGTCAGCAAAACCTTGTGGCGATGTTGTTGATGTATCCAGAAAACAAGCCAAGATTGCTAAGACGGCTGGAGGAAAGGTAGTACCATTGTTTGTAAGTAACTTTTTGAACCCTTAGAGTTTCAGTCCAGACGATTGATTATATGAATGTGAAATTCCAGGATCAAGCAGCTGCCTCTGGGCCTTCTCCGAAGAAAAAGTGCAATGATTCAGTTTCTCCACTGAACCCGCAAAGTGGCAATGACTCCTTAGTTTTGGAAAATGGGAAGCATAGTGATAAAGTGAACTATCAGCCAAGGAACTCCACAAGTCCGAAGTCAAAGGCAGCTGAATCTTCTGGCGCTGTTCTTCTGAAGTGCAGCAACAAAGGTGCTCATCAGCAACAATCTAATTCCCAGAAAGAAAAATCTCGGCCAAATGGTTTGGCTAAATCAACAGTAGACCGTCAGGAAGAAAGCAATGGCACGCATGACCTGGACAATGCAGCAGGAAGCAGTAAATCTATTCAAATAACAGTAAGTACTTTTTGCCAGTTATCTTACGTATAAACAAGTCTTTAGTTTTTCTTGTATATTTGTCATCTGTTATTTTTTATTAGTCCTGCAATAACGAACCTTTCTCTATTCAGAATAAAATTGGTTCTAGTGTCAGGCCTAAGACATCCTCGTCACTCGAGAAAGCCTTCAAAGAATTGGAGAAGGTGGTCGCTGAATGTGAGTTTCAACTGTTCGAGCACTCGTGGTATTTAAATACTATTTAACAAACGGAAAATGTCCAATTTATTTCAGCAAGGCCTCCTGCTCCCACTGAGAATCAAGATGCTGACACCACATCCCAAGCAGTGAAGAGGAGATTGCCAGGAGATGTAAAATCGAAGATTGCTAAAGTTGCTAGGATTGCGGTAATCAAACTCTTTTGTTTGTTATTTTTTTTGCTAACAATCTTCCAGATGTATAAAATGATTAGCAATTTTTTATTATTGAAGCAGGCGAGCCAGGGGAATGTATCAGGAGAGTTGATCAATCGTCTCATGAGCATTGTTGGTCATCTAATACAAGTTAGATCGCTGAAGGTAATCAATCACCTCTACCCCATGTATACAGAGACTTGTTATGCCATGTATATAAGTTTTTAAGTTCCAAGCGAAAGCTTTTCCATTTCAGAAAGAGTTAGGAAGATATGATTTTATTAGAGGAGCCAAATCTCTGACGGTTTAGTTATGCTTACTGTTTCAGAGGAACTTGAAAATCATGATTGATTCTGGAGACTCTGCAAATCGAGAAAAGGATATTAGATTTCAACGTATCAAGGATGAAGTTATTGAGATGTTAAGAACACAAGTTCCGTTGATGGATTCCCAGGTCCTCTCTCTTTACTTTTACTAGTTTCACTGATTTTATTTGCAAATGGGTTTCTTATACACTGTTTTACATATATTCTTTAGTTCTTGTCTCTATTCTTGGACTTAGACGCCTCATTGTCTATAAAATGAATGCATAATACTCAAAAGTTCTCTCTGAGAATGGTTGGCCTATGGCCTAAGCACTTGTTTTCTTCTGTTTATCGTACTCTGTTATAGGCTCTATCTACTTTGTGACATTTGTCCTGTTATGAAATTGTTTCACAGGCAACTAATCAAGAAGCTGGAACATCAGACGATTTTCAGGATGCTGAAAAGCCACCTGCGAAGAAGAAATCCGTCATGGATGCGGCGCTGGAGGACAAATTGTGTGACCTATATGACATCTTCGTTGATGTAATTCCATTTTTGGCAACTTTACTGAACAATATTACTGATTTAGGTCCAACAACATTGAAGTGTGAACATAGTTTGTGCTCTGTTTTTGGTAAATACTAGGGGTTGGATGAAGATGCAGGTCCACAGATCAGAAAGCTTTACGCAAATGTAAGCTCCTTATCATTTGGCACTTATGGTCTATTTGCTTTTCCAAGTTTTCAAAATCACTATATTGGTTGTTAAATATTTTTATTGTATTTATTTATGCTCTCCAGTTAGCTGAACTCTGGCCAAAGAGGTTGATGGACAACCATGGAATCAAGCGTGCTATTTGCCGGGCAAAGGAAAGGCGGAGAGCATTGAATGGAGATCTTGGGAAGGAGATGGTATCTAAGAAACTTCTCAACTCTCTTTCGCCAGTTTGTTTCTAATCTCTCAATGTGATCACTCATCATCAGCTCTTTTCTAATTTGAAGGATCAAGGGAAGATGACGAAGAGGAAACAGACACAAGTGGTACCAAAACCAGAGGGTAATGCTTCTCATCCCGACAAGGCTTCAAGTAGTGGAGACAAAACAACAGGTGTTGTTGTCCCACGCGCAACAACGACGTCCACAGTCCAAATTACAGTGGACTTGTCGCGTGACAAGTCAAAGCAGCAACATGAGAAACGAAAGGGAGCCTCAAGCTCAACAGAAGCAAAGGCAGGCAGGAGAAAGACAGAGAAGATAGTAGAAGAATCTCACTTACCCACAGAGAAACATCTTGTTCTGCCACCAAAGCAGCAGACACAAACACAGGCTCCACCGGACCTGAACCTGCCAAGTTAATTAATGACTCAAGGCTTAGTTTCTGTTAGGTATAATTTCTTTAATGCCATCTAAACTATTAAAACTGAAGTACATTTTGTACTTAATCCTTATTTTTCCTAAATAATTACCATCCCATGCCACTGACTTTTATTATCAAGATTTTAGAATATTAGTTTAATCAACTATATTTAATTTATAGACTAACCAAAACTAACGTGTTTCTAAACCAATTATTTATCGGTTTAGTATTGTCTGCTAAATCAAATCCAATCTATTCAAAATCCAAT